ACAATCAAAATTTAAGAATGTGAAAATCGAAGGATTGCAATGATTCCATTCGGAAGCAAAAATCATGAAATTTCAAATTTCACTGAAAATTCAATGTACTTTAGGACTGAATAATCATATTAAATTAGAAATTCAAATAAGGAATTCTTGTTTTTATGCTACATAAAATTTTGGAATTTTGCTGAATTTTCAGTGAAACCTGAAATTTCATGATTTTTTCCTCTAAAACGCATTCAGTGTCACAGTCCTGAAAATCAGTAGTCAACTCTCAATGAAATTTCACTTTTTTTTACTAACAGTGTAATGAATTCAGCATTTTAACCTGAGTTATTTCATTCGGTTATATCAGCGGAAGATGGAAAATTGAAAGAATCCTGTCCACATTCTAAGAAGGGGGAGGGGAGGAAATAAGGAGAGATAAAAGGAATAATTGAAATACACGAGTGGTAGGAGTAAGCTCCGGCACAATAAGATTAACATGTCGAACAAAGAATCCTAGGCACTCGTCCTGGTTCGTTGGTCAGAAGGAACTGCAATTGTTTTGCGAGGTTGAGGACTACAGACAAGGGAATTTGTGCATGGATGTAAAAAGAGCGCGAGGGATGCATGGTTTTAATATGCGACCAATTATTCATTTTGTTATACTACATTGTTAAAAATTTTCAACTGAAATTTCCCGTAAGAGTCTTAGCAATTTCCAACAAACCCCATAGGTAGTGGGGACAAGATTGCGAGTCAGAGGGTTAAATTGTGCCAAAATATCATAGTTTTAAAATCCTTTCGCATCTATATCTATTTTCCATCAACTAAATGTTGTTCGATTGATTGAGAATTGGTTATAATCCTCAACACGAAAACGAATATTGCATTATAAACTGCATGAATTCTAGACACAACACTAATCCATCATCGTTCTCCACATCAATGGATATTGGAATATTCTGACATACACTTGGGATAACAGCACCATTTCTTCATGTAAAATGGGTATCCATTCAAAACGTGTACCACCAAAAATATTAAAAAACACATGATCTGTACACCAAGCCATAGCGCAGTAAATCGAATATGTATTCCGATCGCGCGCTAGAGAGAAGGATGGTTCTTCACACTTCGCATCAATGTTTATGGAGCTGCATACCAATGACAGATGGTTCTATTGCGAGTTGAACACAACAAGTTGCAAAATTTTTACGATTTTGAATTTGAGCATTAACAACATTTTTTACACGACATGGTGACATATGCACATTCAAAAATTTTAAACTTCAGCAATGAATAATGTGATAATTGACAGAAACATTTGTTTGTCACGAGTTTAAATTCACTCTGAAAAGGGATAATGAAGGTCAGTGGAAGTTTTAGAAAAAAAAAATTGTATACTATTGTATGTTTCAATCAAAGCCAGAGAATCAACTAAACTCTCAATAGAAATTGATTTCAAGAAGGGGTATATGATACTACAGACGAGCCCCTTACCTCAAATTTATGATTTAATATACGGAGTCAATGCATTTTGACGAAATATTAAGGGGAAAAATGATATAAAAGGTTGCTCAGAAAAACTCGATTTAATACGGTTGTTGTGAGGTGTGAATACATTGTTGTCTATGAGCCAGGTTACACAATTGAAATTCCTACCTCTATGAATTTTCTACCTTAAGTAGGCGATCATATAGATATATGGAATGGTTCCCAATACTCGGCCTTATCGTCTAAAGGCATAAATTCAATTTAGAATTTTCAAATAGAGGTATCGGGGGGCTAGAGTATGTACCGCCCACCTAAGGGAAATGAGTCGTTTTTGATGCGACTTATTAAGATATTAATGTGTTACTGATTTTTTAAATCAGTGAAAAAATCGTTAAAAAAACGATTTAAAAACGAATTGCTTTTTCTTTAAAACTATTAGATTGATCGAGCTGAAATTTGGCAAAGAGTTTCCCGCGACTTGAGGTATACCCGCTCATACGAAGTATTCGAAACATGGGAATTATTATAGCACCCTTGGAGATGGCACTAACCATCTAAAATTTTTGCTGCTAGTTAGTGTTGTGAAGCTATAAACTTTTGTAATGTTTCAGACCGTTCGGAATCCCGCCATCAATCCATTGAGGAGGAAAAAAAATAAAACATTACTCAGTGACATGCTCACTGTCACATGGCACGCTGTCATATGCTCGCTGTCTCCTGCTTGTTTGAGTAATGCAGAGCAACTATTAGAATTTTTCCCATTTTCATCCTTCGTTTCCATCCTTTGGGTCCATTTTGAGAAAGATTTCACGTGAATAATCATAAATTATCCTGAATTTACCCGATGTTCCAGTGTCTAGCAGCCGTATAGAAACTTTGAGCGGCATTACCTACAAATTCTGGGCCGAATTGCCCACAGACGCGGAGGCTGATAAAATAGCCAATAATAACTGATGAAGATATTTTTCTGCTATCGAGAAGGTGGCGATGGATGTGGCAATGTATAGCGAACATATATTTCGCACTCCATTCATTTTGGGCCCACTGAAAATTTGAAAAATTTTAAATTCTGGAGTTGAAATATTTGAACGATTCGGTAGGGAATGATTTGGATTTTTTTTAACGATGGTTCCACGGGAGAAAATGGCAAAAAACTCGATATAATATTTCATTCTTCGTATTGCACAAACTATGCCCAACTTTTCTTTGCGGACCGGACCTTGCAGAACAATCCATTATAGCTGTGAAATAACTCTGCGTTTTCTTCTTTTAATCATTAAGAAATGTAATGGGGGGATGAAAAACTTTTTCGTTGAATTGCTGCTCCAAATGTTGAAGTACGGTCACATTCAGCTGAATGAAAAGTTACAGGAACAACAATTCACGCTTATGTGCTCAATAAAAGCTATTGTTGCTTTCTCAAATCGAAGATTTTTCAACGCACTTCTTGGAGTACTTGAGAGTCTTATAGAAATGCTAACACAGCTGATAATTGTAATTACCCGTGTCAAAGTTTAAGACCTACCTAATCCTGCCAAGTCCTATAGGGTACCACTTATAAGTTTATTTCAGTGATTATAAGATGTTCTTCAACTCCTTAAATCATTTGAATACTTTTTTAAGGATTCAATGCCACTACTAAATATGAAGTAATTGCCCTTTATAAATTCCTGTTAAAAGCGGCAAAGAAAATCTCCAACGGAATGTAGAAAATTCCTCATCATATTTTGGTCAATCAAGAAATGGGTACTCTCCTGTATAGACTATTTCATTCCTATACTATTTACTTATGAATATTTCTCTTTCAAGACTACTCAGGATTGAAACTTCGATACGGGATAGTCTTTGTGAGACGTCAATCGCTTGCTATGGAGGTCTGATAAATTTAATAGAATCATTGAATACGGAGAAAATTATTTGGTTAATTTCACCAATTAGTTATTGAAATTCAATAAGTAGTTGGTGAAATTTAACAACTAATGAATTGAAATTCAGAAATGATTTTTCAATTTCATTCGATAACCATTTGTTAAATTTCCGATTAATCTGCGTCAATTGTTTTGATGGATCAAATTTAACAACAAATTCTAGATTATTGCGATATCTTTTAGGCGAGTCATTTATCGATTATCAAGATATAAATGATATATGGTATGATTACGGGATTGCGGGACTACCAAACTACACTGAGAAAAAAAAATTCTAATATCTGAGACATACTTTCTTGAGAGAAGTAAATTATTTTCAATGGCTTAAATCTCAGAACGTATCCACTTCACGGAACTCGAATGAATTTTCATTCATCACTATCGTTCTGCGTCACTTTATGAATATTTTACATATTGCAATATTGGAAGTGCATAATGAAAAAATCATGAAAACAATAAAGACTAGAAGATTGACGATTCTTCTACGCGATTTAAGTAAGTTCATTTGCGACAAAATCATACTTGAGTACAAGAATATTTTCAACCATGAGGCCTTTCTCAATTTCTCAATTGAAGAAAATTTACTTGTCTCAAGAAAATATGTTTCAGATATTAGAAATTTTTTTTCTCAGTGTAAATGAGAACTCACCATTTAGTTTGGTAGACAAAATTGATGAAATTTATTAAATTAGAGCTTCAAGTTGGTTGCTTTTTATAGATAACACTGTTAAACACTTTTGGCTGAAACTTCCTGTGAACTCATTGGAATTTTTTCCTCTTTGAAATTTCACGTAATTTCGTTATTACGAATTCGAAATTAATTAATTAGTTGTTGAAGTTCACCAACTAGTTGTTGAAATTCACCAAATAATTTTCTCCGTAAAAACTCGTGAAAACCATTTGGACGCGTTCAACACAGATATTAGAAGTACTACCCCTCATAATATGCATCCCTTGCGATGTGAATAGCATGTTCAATTCCTCATATTTCCCGGACAAAAAAGTTTGAACGCGGCGAATGTATCTATAACTTATTTCAACAAGAATTCCAATCATGGTTTCAATCTTTTCCGGCTTAGCGTAGCAATATATTTAGTGTATACGAACATGTCTATAGTACGATAGGGATGATACCGTGTGAGAGAGTCAAGCCTTGATAAGCGAAATACGCAGATATGCCAGTGGTGGCAAAGTAGTTTGAGTTTGAAGCCCGTTGATATGGGGGAACAGAAGAGCCAGTAAAGTTGGGGTTTTAGGGCTGGAGAGGTGAGCGCAAGGGCGAGAATTAGAGAGCGTGTGGGAAATAGAAAACCAACTTTACCAAAAGGATACCACGAAAAGTCATTTGCCGGAATTGCAATTTCTCGTTGACGCGCACAACCCCCTGTACTCGTTGTGTCCAAGTGAAAGCGGCCTAATGATACACACCAGACTCACTGCGTCGTTACCTAGGCTCTCGTTAGTAGAGTTTTCATTTCTTTTTCACTCATTTGTTTTCATAAACTATATTTTTTCTAGTTCCTTCCTCTGGTTACCCACGTTTTTTGTTTTGTTTGTTTTTATTATTTTTCCTTCCTATATACGCTGTGCTGACAATGGATGTATTCTCCTTTGTTCAAAGGTGTACGGTGCCTGCGGAATGTGACGCTGGAAGTAATACCGGAGGTGGTTGAACGTGGTTGTGAGGTAACTCTACGTTGTCATTACGTACGCGAAAACGAACCACTTTATTCAGTTAAGTGGTATCGTGGCAAATATGAGTTCTACCGGTATTCACCATCGGAAACGCCACCCATTAAAATATTTAATATCACTGGAATAACAGTTCAGGTTAGTATCAATATTTGCACAATGAAAGTAATTAGAAAAAATTTTTGTTTGTTTGTTTGTTGGGGTTTAACGTCACATCAACAGTTACGTTATTTGCTGACGGGCTCTTGACTCTTTCTTCTCTTTAGAGCTCACGACAAATTCCTCTGTAACTTGTAGATTACGATGTTATGACAGTATTTTAAGTGAATGATCAGAATGCAATCAAATATGATGATGAGAATCAACTGTATTCAGTTAGGTTCTCGAGACACCTGAAACTGTAGGAGGTATATACATGATTCGAACATGCTCAATTCGATTTTCTCTCGGTATTTTAACGTTATATCATTTAACTGTATCAAATAATCCAGAAATAATTCGCCGGTGCCAGGTTGCGAACCCAAGACCTCTGGCTTTATAGGCGGACACCTTACCGACCTTGGCCATACATCCGACTAGAAAGAATTTTTATATGAGGTACTAGGAGGTTTCGCCCCTTACTCCCTCCGCTCGCTCTCCTGCGATCTCCTCGGGTATCTTTGGTGAATTGTACATACGACTCCCGTATGGCACCCATATGCCCGAGTCGAATAATTGGACCTGACAAGTTCTACACGGAGAAAAAAATTCCAGAATTTTTCAGGCGAAATTCAGGCAAAAATTACCGTGCCGTCTGGTAAAGTGGGTTCAATTGTCTAGCACCAGAAAAATTCCGGTGCTGCATAGTAAAAATTCCGGTAACGCACAATAAAAGCTTGATCCCTGACTGTTTTCTATTACATGATAAATTTCATTCAATAGTTAAAAATGAGTAAACATTGTCATTCAGCATATCATCCTATTAATTTTATTTTAACCTCTCCTCCATATCCTCTCTCCCATATTAAAAGCGGAATGCGCGGCAAACGTATGTGGAACGTTTGACAGGCCAATGTATATCTACAGCGTTATACACCTCATGAAGCGAAAATAAAGGGCACTTATTTTATTTCTTAACCGTTTTATCACAACACTAATTAATATTTCACTGAATTGATATTATGAAAANAGGTCTTGGGAAGCCTCTTCCCAAGTGCTTCCGAGACCTTTCTACCTCTGGTTATGTCCCATTTCAGCACTTGTTAGGTATAAGCAGGACTTGTATTCAGACTTTCCAAATCCTTGCCGGTCCCCGTAATTCTATGGGCCTATATTAAATCTACGTTAGACTATTTGTCATAGAGTATGAAATACATTTTGTCAATTCAACACTTGCACCTGTGGCATGTACATGAAATCTGTGAACCATTATGTGCCTCAGCATTTACGCGAATACCCCTGGATTATTTACGATCGGTTTCAGCATCACCCTCGTGACCATCCCCAAATGGTATTGTAAATACAACGGAGTTTAATCTACACGAAATTTCAATACCAAACGGCGGAATAAGCGAATATTTCATGGAGGTTATTTGGAGATTTACATGGATTCCTTTGCTTTCATATTTCAGCGTAATACTTCAGATCACGAGCAGGTGACTGTCATGAATGTCGATTACGGGCTAACGGGTAACTTTAGTTGTGAAGTGACGGCTGATGCACCGACATTCTCCACGGAAGCGAGTATCAAGAAGCTGAGAGTTGTTTGTGAGTATTACTCACTGTTCCATTAAATTCTTCATATTCCTCAACTCTGTGAAGAGAATCACCTGTTTCCCATAACGGTCTTTATGTTGTAGTGGGGGAGAGTATTTAGTTTCACGTTGGTATTCATCCAATTTTGGAAATATATGAAATAGTGAAGGTTCAAATACCGGAATTTAAATCGGGCTCAGATAAATTGGGATGACATTCCACTGAGATTATGAGAAGAGTCAGTCGCGTAATCATCAAACAAAATTTGATAAATTGTGAATTTACAATATTGACACTTTCCATTGTCATGGGGAAATATGACTCAACTCTAATTTTAGGACATCAATTCCCTATGTAACCGTGAACCTTTGTACGACTGTAGATAAAACGCTTACAGCAAATACCTCTTTCTTGAGTATATGGATTATTCTTATACAACGGAATAATTTTGTTTCAGCTTTGCCAAAGGACAAACCCCTCATCTCAATGGAACGCAACCGATATGATACTGGAGACACCCTCAAAGCGAATTGCAGTGTTCCACCGTCCAAGCCCCCAGTGGAATTTCCTTTCAAGCTCAACACTATAGAGGTAAATGCACACAAATTCGACGATACTACTTCAAACGCACCAATGATACTCACCCTCGTCTTCAAATCTCGCATTTTCAATCTTCACACTCTCATCTTTAGCATCCGTAAATTGCATTGAGACCCTCTCAATTTTACGAACTTCAATTGAAAAATATTGATAAAATTACGATTCCTCATTCTTGCTTTCGAATGGAAGCATTGTATTCATCAAATCTGAATGCATGTATGTAAGTATGTATGTGAGCTTTTTTTTAAATTTAGTTTTCCGACGATCATTCAAAAAATAATCGTAATAATCATTTCAATTATGGGTTAAAATATTCGTTTGGATGTTATCTCGGTCGAGTTCGAAGATTGTGGCGATCGCATCATTTGAGGTTTCATCGAAGTTGAATCGAGTTTAGTCAGGGTTTAGTCGGAGGTTAATCAGGGTTTAACCAGAGCATATAGAGTTCATGTTAGACATTTGGGACATTTAGGGATCATATTGAGGTTTCATGGCCGGTACGTGTTCTTCCCCAATTCAGAAGCAAATTGCTAATTCATTATTAAAAATGTTATACTGCTCTTAAGTCCAGTTTAAGGAAGACTATTCAGAAGGAAAATAAAATTTAAATAATTTACTTACCACCGAGGAGACACCAACATTGCTGTATCAGGAGCATGAACTCTTGTGATATCAAATGTTACATTCATTTTGTTTTCACTCAATCTGTCCAATTAAAAAAAATTCAGTTAACTAAAAAATTTTATCTCAATTTGTCTTTAAAAAAAATTATTGAATTTTCCAGAGGTTAAACTTTAGGAAGGATCCCTACTAATCTGAAATTAATGACAGAAAACCGAATATGCACTTTTTTGGTTTAATTTGATTAATCCATTCGGAAGCAAATTGTTAAGTTTTAGCATTAAAACTATACTTGATTTAGACCTATGCAATGGATCACTCGTTTTTTTAATTATTGTGAAAAAGAAAATTTTAAAAAAATTTTAAAAATTCAAATTAAATTTTAATTAATGGCGATCGATAGGGCTCAACAATACCTACATTTGAGAGAAAGAAGAGATTCAAATCCTTCGATTCATTAGCGAACAATCGAATAAAAATTGTTTTACATACTTACGCACATCCATAGATACGTACGGATACGGTCTAAAAATTGCATTTTCGGACTTTTTGGATCATAATGGGTCGATATAACACGAAAAATCCAAAACTTAAATTTGAACGATTACAATACTTCCATTCGGAAGCAAAAATTCTATGCAACAATATCCTATAACGTCACAAAAGATGTTGAACTCTATGTAAACACCTGGTTCTGTGAAAAATTATCACAACCATGTTGGTACGATTGAAACACATCACCCTCGAGCAAACTTTGATCTCACGAACGCGTGCGCCAGAGCTTTGCCACTTTTAATATCCCTACAGCAGGAGCAATTTAAGATTTTCTTAACATGGAGTGACTCCTTTGACTCAATGTATATCAGCCCCATTCATTAAAAATAATCGTTCCGCAACGACGTCATTACATGAAAAAAAATTCCTCTGTGCTTTGAGTTCGTATTTTTGAATTCTCTAATCAGCGTACAGGCGCAGTTTCTTTACTGAAGAATGTTAACGACCTTGAAGAGAGATTACTGGGAAAATGAATAGAGGCGAGCGAAACAGACAGAGAGAGAGTCCTTTATTCTCATTGCGTCGGTATGTGGAGCAAATAAAAAAATATATGATTGAGTCTTCTTGCAAACGAAAGAGACAGCATTCTATTGTGAGTGGAATGATGTGTATCCTCGTAACACCTGGTTCTACAAGAATTCATTATCTCAGGTTCTTGTTCATTTTCCAACAATTTTACTTTTTTGCCCTTTTTCCTGGACGACAAGAGGAAAAAAAGGTAGGGCTGCGGGAAAGTACAAACATTTTCCTTCTATTTTCTCAGAGCTAGCTGTGTCATTCGCCTGCACGGTGGATAAAATCCTTCGGGACCAGTATACACCGAGAATACGACTTTTATATGGGGATTTACGTAGTACCGCGCGACCTTGATGACCTGTAAAACACCATCAATTATGTCAGATGACTATTATACTCTGAAGCTTTATACTGCGGAGGTATTGCCCAAACCAATTATGCTTCCGATTTTAATAGACTCTTGCCTCGTATTCTTTCCCTAGAACTGAATTGCATTTTTCTTCGGGTTAGTTTATATTTTCCAACAGTGAGAATTTCCTCATCGAGGAAATGGACACGTACGGAGCGAGATAAAAAAATTCTCCAGTAAAAAGTAGCGAGAAACATAAAACATCATGGATCGACTGTCCATGATGTTTTATGTTTCCCTCTACGTTACATATTTATGGAATACAAAAAAATATTCATAGCGCAGTACAGAATACAAATTAACTAGTACGTATCGCACATGAGAATGATTCATCTAAAAATGGTGATCATGTGTTGGAAAAAATTTAGACAATTTCAGTACAAAATCGTATTTACCTTCGTGATTTCTTGTTTCGTGTCATCATGAAACAAGTGGGGAATTGCTCTTGTATTGCATATAGTATAATTATTTTTGATAATAAATTAGCAATATGCTTCCGAATGATTATTTTGCACATCATTTCCTTCTATCATGTATAGCTCAGTGTTTATTTCATTTTATTAAATTGAATAAGATTCCTTTCAACTAATTTTGTCAGATTTTCAACTTAGTTGGATGTTATCATCATCATTATTCTTATTATCCCTTTCTTCTATACAACCGATTGTCGTTTTTACGGTTCTGTCTCTCTCTTCAGTCTCTCTCCTCAGAAAATTGATTTTTCAGTGACAAGATTTTCTGAAAATTCAGTGGACCTTGAACACGATGAAAATTTTCCGAGTTTGGCATAGAAAATTTAGACCAAATTTGTTAACAGTGTGGTATTGTTATTCATCCCACAAAGCATAAGAGAATGGTATAATTGTATTATCCCTAGAATGTACTGGTGGAAGTAAGTCCATACAATTCCCTCGATTTGTATCATTTTGTCAAACTGAATAACCCAGCTGCGCGTAATGTTGAGCCACGAGAACTTGGTAAATTATATCAACTCCAAAGCACGATATTGAATCTAACACAATAACAGAGAATTTAATGATGATATTACTGCACGTGAACAGTATATATTCCATTTTAGAAATCGAATTGATCAAAGGAATTCCATGTGAATTGTTAGGGTAGAAATGTTAGAATTCAGAATCTCAATGTCTACCAACAAACTTGAAGGAGTGTAAAGAGGAAATTCATTCATGAATTGAGAATACAAATGCCTTTGTACCTTGAAACATCAACGTAATAAAACAAAAGTAACGAAGAAAGTGCAGAGTTCTCATAAAATAATGACCTACGACAAAGGATTTCTAGATTGAATTGAACCGGAGGCTGAGTTAGACGATGTTTGATGATAGAATGGGAGAGGTAAGAGAAGGGTTGGAGTAGAGAATCGATGGCTTTGTTCGAAACCGGCAGCCAGCACACAGCATCATCTTATCGAAAATAAAATAAGGAACTTTCTCTCTCTTTTTGATGTATATATTTGGACGGTAAATAACGATAGAGAGGAATGAGAAATGATTGGTGAAAAAACAATTGGATACACACGTGAATGCATAAATTATATGACAAAATGACACCGGCAAAGAGAATCTCGCTTTGGCGTTCTATATTCATCTAATGGCTTTCAGTATTTGTCCTATCGGCTAAACTGAACAGGTCCCATCTCAGGCATGGTTTTGTGCTGCAGACTCACGTAAAGGCTATTTCTCCAGGTAAAGTGACAAGAAGTTCAGAGTGGAGTACGAGACGTGAGAAGATACTCGTGCCATCCCTGAACGTTTTGGCCATTATCGCCAGTTGCAACGCTATAACGATGCTATTGTGGAGCGCAAAATCGTTCACGTGATGACTCACTTGGTACTTTTTTATTCTGTAAGGTTTAGTGGACTCATATAGTTCGATAATGGATTCATGTTTTCATGCTCTTTTCATGAAATTCAGGGAAGGTGAAGCAGAAAGCACTTGTCTCTTTCATAATTTTATATCATTCACCAATAATCAGCGTGCAGAATTGTCGATGATTATAATTCACATTATTGATTAACAGAGTAGAAGAACTCGTTAGTAAATGCTGTCCATCAACCATATCATAGGCTCTTAAATCTTAATGCAATAATCACATTCCAATTAAACAAAATTGTGAGGAAGAATAGGAAAATTATTCATTTCGTCCCATCGAAATTATGAACTTCAATTGCAGCAGCTACACAATAAGCCAATATGTCAAGTTCACCCCTAAATATAATTGGTTAGTAAACAAGATAATTGCATATATGTAACAAGTGTCCAGCGTCAAACACCTGTCGTAAATTCGGATTGCAGCGTTATAATGATGCTATTGAGGAGTGCAAAATCTTTCATGTATAACGGCATACTTGGTACTTTTTCATTCTGTATAAGGATTAGTGGACTCGCATAGTTCGATAATGGATGTATGGTTTTATGCTCTTTTTATGAGATTTAGGGAAGTTGAAGCAAAAAGCACTTGTCTTTTTTATAATTTTATATCATCCACCAATAATCAGCATACAAAATTTTCGATAATTATAATCCACACTATCAATTGATAGACCAGAAAAACTCGTTGGGAGCTCCTTAAGATAGTGGAATTTGTTTGCTTTTATACTTATATTAATCAATTGTGTTTCAAATTGCATAGTCCAGTGTTAGGAATTATGCGATCTTGTCATATGATATCTACTTTTTATTTTTATCTATTAAAACCCCTATGTACCAACAGTCTCTCCAAGTTTGTACGGATGTTTAATCTTTTTTTTCTTATCTTCAATAACGAAAAAAAAGGAAAGAAAAACTCATTGGTAAATGCTGTCAATCATATCACAGACTATCTTTTGATGCAACAACCACATTGGCAATTAGACAAACAGAATTT